AGATAAAGCAACATTTTTTTGTAAAACTATATGTCTGATCTTGCAATTTGATTGGTCGATTAAAGAATCATTTGGCATGTGATATTTTCAAATCCGATAACCTTTCAAAACCGATAAAAAACCAGTCCACCATGCATATCGGTTTTGAGAGGGTCGACAGTATATTATTTACTTTATACCTATCAATTGCAAACTATATACAGGATATTATCTTAATTTAAAATAGTTTTTGTATATACTTTAATATTTTAACAATTATATCTATTCAATTCTTTAATAAGACTCTTTATAATTTTCTTAATTTTAATACCAACTATATAGATTTTATTTTCTCTATAGCTATTAATATCTACTATAAATAAGGGTATAGCAACTTAAAGTAGTGATTAGGTTGTTATCTCTTAAGTAGCAGGCTTAAAGTTTGAATTCTATCTACAATAAAATTTAGAAAATATATCTATATTATAGCAACTTTTTTGTATATAGAGTTTGATATTTGTAATATTGTTGTATTAACTTGATTAGAAGGTTAGTATATTTGTATTATACAGAGAAATACAAACTAGTATCAAATAGTACAAACTTATAATAAGTTTCTTGACTATATATAGAAATTGTAAGTATAGAAAGATCACAAAGTCTGTTTAAAAAGACTCAAGTAAAAAGTAGTACAAAATTTTGATAGAACTACTATAAAGGCTAGATCATAAAAACAATTATTTGACAAAACAAATTAGCTTGTATATAAGCAAATTTACTAATCAGACTGCTAGAATTCAGATTAAAAAAAAAGATATTAGGCCAAACTCAATATACTAGAGACAGACTATAGTCTTTCTAAGCTATTTAAATTAAAAGTTTGAAAAAGATTGTGGATATACTAAAATATTAGAGATAGTGTTCTGCAAAAGATTCAGATCCAGTCTGGTCTATTGACAAACTAAGTTTAGACCCATGATATATCAGAATCAATACAGTTTAAGACCTATACAAAGATCTGCTTAGGTAATACCTGGTCTGGTATATTAAAATAATATTAAATGCTGATTGGCTAATTTTAATTTTTTTTTAAACCAAGCTTAATTGAGCTAAAATGATTAGAATAAACAAAGGATGTTATTTTGCATTCTGGTCTTAAATAATAATAAAGACTTTTTATAAATGTGATTTAACAATAATGATAAAAAAAAACTAAAAATAAAAACTTTATTTAATAAAAGCCACACTTAAGCCTGCAGTTTAAAACTTATATATACTTTTTTTTTAAAAAGTATGAAAAAAAAGCTAGAGAAAAAACTTGAGCAAAGCTTGAGCAATAAGCTTGAATATGGAAAAAACTTTGATAAAAAAAACTTACAAAAAAAAAATTAAATAAATACTTATGTTTAGAAAAAAAACCTTCATCTTTTTTTTATCATAATATAGTTTTTCTTCTTTAATATATTAAAATCTTACACTTTAAACTTTATTAATATTAACAAATTCATATTCTCAAGATGAATTTGAAGAATGTAAGCTATCAGTTTCATATCATGGTAAATTTTACTCAGGTGATTTTTATTTAGATGAACCTTATTAGCACCAAGATAAATCATACCAAAGCAATTTATACCAAGATAAGTTGTATTAAAATAAATCAAACCAAGATAATTCATACCAAAATGAATTATATCCTAATGAATCTTACCAAGGTGAACTACATCAAGATGAATCTTGCCCAAATAAATTATTATCCCAAGTAGAACCTTCAACTTGTGATAAAGCAAATGAAGAGTAATATATACAAAGATTTACTTTTAAAATATATATTGTAGCTAATACTAAAATTTGAAGTCCTGATTTAAAAATATAAATCTTGCTAAAATTCACATATACTTATTAATTATTAATTCTAGCTCTAAATCCTAATCTAACTCTAAAAAAAAGGCAAACAAAAATATCACAAAAAATTTTTATATTTGAATTTTGTATTAGCCATTTCCAGCATCAGCTATGATAATATATATATCAAATATATATATTTTTTATTTATCAGCTTTTTATTTTATAGATCTATAGTGTGAAATATTTTAAAAAAAACAAAAGAGAATGCTATATATGGTATTTGCAACAAGTCACTAGTCTATAACAATGAAACAACATCAAATCTTTTAAGGTATCTCAGAAGATATAAAGGCAAAGTGCCTGAACTGAATGAATCAAATGTAAAAAATGGTACTAGTGTTTTGAAATATTAAAAGCCAACCAACATGAACCCTTTAGCTAACAAAAATTTACTAACATAATAAAAAGATAGATTGTAAAATGTAATCAGTCATTTTAAATTATTGAAGATGACAAGCTTAGATCTATATTTATTTACTTAAAACCTAAAGCAGTTAGTAAAATATCATCTAATAGTATATTTAATATATTAATATTATTGCAAAATAAATATAAATAAGAGTTTTTTTTAGTATCTTTTGCTAACTTTATAAAACAATATATTATAAACAATTTCAAAAGAGAGTGTGAACAGCTCTATAACAACTAATATTTGGACAACTTTGACTAATAAAAAGTTATTTATAGCTATTACGATTCATTATCTAAATCAATCATATAAATTAAAACATATTCTTCTTGATTTTATTTTTATGGAGGATATACATGCAGGTGTTGCAATTGTGAATGCTATAGAAGACTGTTTTCAAAAATATGAGATATTTTCAAAAATAATATCAATAATCTGTAATAATTTATTTGCTAATATAAAGTTTTTATGTATTTTTTTCAATTTTATATATATAGTTGGTTTTAGATTTAATAGTATATAGCAATTAATATAATGCTTTAATCAATCTTAAATCTTGTGTCTAATATATCTTAAAGGTTGTAGAAAATAAAATAAAAAAGATTATTATTAATATATTAAAATTTTAATATTTCATATGTTCTATATTATGATTTATTTGTATTATTTTATTGTTTAACAGGTTTGAAGCATATAGTTATATTAATATATATTTGAATATTTTTTGTATAACTCTGAGTAAGATCCCTATAATGCTTTATATTTATAGTTTTTTTATTTAGTTGCTTGGATTAATAAAAAGTATTAGAGAATCATGAAAATATCGCAAAAGGTTAAAGCTAACAAGTAGTTAAAGCTAATTCTTGATATACTAATACAATAAAACTTTATTTTTTATATGTATGAACAAGCATTAAAGCTACAAACAGTGTTGGATGCTAAGTCTTTTGCTAAAACAGAATTACGCCAATATGTTTTGGCTGAAAAAGAATAGAAAATAATAAAACTTCTTGTAAATATTTTATTATCCTTTAAGGATAGTAGTATATTGTTATATAGTATTAAAATTTATTGTATAGTTAAGTATTATAGAACAAAATATTTATTATAGTTTTAATCAATTTAGCGATCATAGTTATATCATCATCAGAATATCTAATACTGTCAATGGCTATTCTCTTTTATTATTCTTTGCTTGAATTACTTGAAGAAACTAGACAAAAAATGATATACCTAAATAGCTAAAGCAAAGGTGTGAAGCTACTTCAAATAAACTTCTAGAATATTGTTAAAGAACAAGTCTTTTATATATTTTATTGGTTGTGCTAGATCAAAGACTTAAAATTTGATACTTTGAAGGACTGGATAGTCTTCTAAACTTATTAACCAAATTAAAGATATATAAGTATTAATAATTTTAATATAAAAAGATGTAATTAGAGATCTGATTAGTCTAAATCCTGATTAAAAAATATCTGTTATATCTAATATTCATTAAATAAATCATTTAATAAGTATAATACTATTAAAGCTATAATGTCTGTTCTTTTTAATATTCTTATTTTACTTTTTTTTACATGTATTTTTTTAATATAATTCTGATATTATAAAATATCTTGTAAATTGATGGTGAGGTAGCAGTTAAAGTTTTTTTGTTGCTATATCAGATATTCTGAAATCATAAAGTCTTAGGTGATACTAGATTCAATCTATTAAAAAAAATTAAATACTAAAAATAGAATAATTGCAAAATTGGGATATAAAAAAATTTTTTTTTAAAAAATTGAAAAAAATAGATCAACAGGTAATGCAAAATAAAAAATTAACTTTGCATAGCCTTAAACTTAATTAATGAATACTTTTAAGTATGCTAATATATTAATTGCATAATATTTTAAGTATTAAAGATAAATATGAAAACCAATATATACCTCTTCCCAATCAAGAAATAGCAAATACAATAGCAGAACCATCTCAAAGTATAATATCACAAATCTTTAAGCAAATATATATAGAGCCACCAAATAAATTTGACATATATCTAATAATACCACTTGTAAATGAATATACAAATATTTTAGAATAGTAGTGGGTAAATAAAAGTAGCTATTCAAATCTTGCAAAATTTGCTAGAGATTGTCTTTCAATATCTGCTATGAGTGTTCTAAGTGAGCAGGTATTTAGTATTAGTAGTAATATGTTAACTAATAAGTGAAATCAATTGGATAAAAAAACATTATAAGTAGTGATGTGCTTGAGGTCATGGTGAAGAAAACTAGCAGATTAAATATATATCTTATCTGGTCAAATTTTTTGTTTTAAGCTTTTATATTTTAATTGAATAAATCATTAAATTTTTTTTTAAATAGATATCTTAAATGACTAATGATATAAATATAGTAAATAGGTAAGTATCTATTATTTTCACAGTTGTTTTTCCAAATAATTATTAATTTATTATTTTATATATTTTTACATTATTTTGTCATCACTTAACAGCTTATATAAAACACTTCACAATACTAATTTACTAATTGATTTATTCTTAATGATTTTATATAAATCACTAAATGTTAAGTTTTTTTTTATTCAATTTTTGCTCTTATATAAGCACTTTATTAATATATTATTTATTTTTAGGATTTGTTCATTTCTATTTCACACATATATTTGTTAGCAATTTTTGCAAAATAATACTAAATTATAAAAAAAAATAAATAAATAAATTGTTTTGGTATTTTTATATAAGCCCAAATCAAATTTATTAAATAAACCTTTTGACTGTGATTAAAATTTTTCATATCCAGGAGTTTTGATAATTAACACTCTGCGTAGATTAAATAAGTTGTATTTTTTGTGTTTAAACTAATAATTTAAATAAAGACATATAAACTTCATTAATGTTTGAATTGCATTAATATATTTATTTATCAATTGTGCTTTTTATTTGGGTATTGTCTAGTATTGCAAGATGATAGTATTCAGCAAGTTACAGTTATAGTAAAATCGTATATTTCTATTGTGCTGCAAATAAGCTATAATATCATAACTGTAACAATTCTAAAACAAAGTTTTTTGGTTAATTTGTTTCAAGCAGCAAGTTATTGTTATATTATAATAGCACATAGAGATTATATTTTAAACCAGAAAGTTACAACTAGTTATATCCCAATGCTTCTTCAGACTTCAATTTATTAAAAAATAAACTTTAAATCTAAAATAGTATTTTTGGCAATATTCATTTATAAAAGCTCAGATTTATGCTTTAATTATTTTTTTATAATTTTAAGTGGTCGATCATACATCCATATGATATTTTATAGGTCCAGACCAGAACTGGATCTATGTAATAAGTTTTGGTCTCTAACTTTAGATTCGATTTAGTTTTTAAATCAAATATAGATCTTTAAAAATACCTGCCCAGTCTGAATCATACAGAATACTAATTAGAGATATGCTATAAAGTAGAGGCCAAGATTTTGAACAAATCTATAAGGATAAATATTAGATAATATAGTAAAGATCAAAAAACTAACTACAAATACTAGTTTTTAGACTTAGTGTAAGTTACTAAAGCCTAGATTAGCTGTATATAAAATATAGAAGACTTTAGCAGGTTTGACTTTGAGTATAAAGGACTCCAAAATTTTTAAAATATTTATTTTAAAATTCTAAACTAGATATATGAAAATAAGAAGATATAGTATTTTTTGCTCAGTTTGTAAAGTATTTTATATAGTTGCAGAGAGTTAAATAGATAATCTCTAATTAGATTATAAGTATGTCTACTAGTATAGAACTTAGTAATAAGTGAAATAATTAAATAAAAGTTTATCTAAAGTAAAAATAAATTATATGACTATTATCTAATCAAATTATAAAATTTTAATAATTGCCAGAGAAGCAATACAAAAAAAAATAAAAATCTAAAAATACAAAAAACATAGTTAAAACCTACATTGGGTAAGTTAAACAAAACATATGGGCCAATTTGTATTATTACTATTAAAAATAATAAAATATTTAACAGTAAATAACATTTTATTCACTGATTCATTTGAAATGATTTTACACCAAAATGACTGTCTCAAAGAGACATTTCTAACGAGTCTAAAATTATTAAAATCTAATCATAGAATCTCAAGATAATTAGAAAATTCTTTGCTTCAGATAAGATAGGATAAGTTTAACCCATCCTATTTTACCTGAAGCAAACAAAATATTAATTATCTTGAAATTTCATAATTGGATTTCAATAATTTTAGACTCATTAGAATTGTCTCTTTGAGATGGTCATTTTGGTGATAAATCATTCCAAATAGATTAGTGAATAAAATATTATTCAATGTCAAATATTTTACTATTTTTAATAGTAATGATGCAAATCAGCCCATATGAATATTGAAAAAGCATTAAAGAAGTTTATTTTGATTGGTTGTTATAATGCCCTAGAAAAAATATAGATCATACCCTAGATTATCACC